AAAATCGAAACAGAATTTGTTACAATGTTACACTTGAATCACTTTTCAAGTGAATAAATGTTTGTGATGAATGTTTTTGTCTTTTTTTTTCTACGATTCTATTTCCCTTGTTTCAATTGAATGACATTTCTTGGATTTCTTGTCATTTGTTCAATCGGTCAATCGGTTGGTCAGATCAGATCTGTAATGTTTGTTTGTTTGTTTGTTTTTACTCATTGGCTCAAGGATGTTGATGATGATGATCATTGTCAATTGACATTTGTTTGAATTACATAAAAAATGGAATCTCCTGTTTATTGTGAAAGAAATTATCAAGAATTTGATACAACAACAACAAAAGTAAAAGAGGAATTTAATTAACCATAGTCGTTTTTTCGACGGATTCTTCGATGATATTATATTGAGATTTGGGTTTTTCATTTGTTTTCTTGAAAATACGAATAAATTTTTCATTTCGTTACTGTTTTCCATTGAAATTACAGGGAAAAAGTGAGCTGAATAGATGAAAACCTGATTAGTTAATAATAAATTTTATTTCACAGAAACTTTTTTTTCCAGTCATGTCTTTTACTACGGATAGATATGGTATATATGATGATTTGTTCCTGTTACGGTGTTTGAAATTTTTGACATATCAAATCTACCAATCATCATTGAAATTTTGATCCCGTGAAAATAAAACCCGAAATGATGATTCTCTTTTCATCATACTGTATACATGAATTTCCATGCAAATTTGTCATCAACATTTGTTTGATGAATTTTCGATTCAATGAAAAAAAAAATTTACCGTTTTTGTTGACTGTTTGAAGTTGATTTTGTTCATGAATAGTATGTCTATGTTTATACTGAATAAAATGAATCCAATCTGAAAATTATTATTATTATATGAATTTATCAGCAAATAATAAGCAAATGTAATATCGTCGTCGTCATCATCGTATAAATATGATAATAAGGATAAGAATTTTTTGACAACAACAACAACAACAACGAAAAAAATCAGTTAAACATAATAAATCTATCGAATATTATTTTGCCACCATGTCATTTCGGTTCGGTCTGATTATTTTAATTTTGTGATTGTGTTGATTTTCTTCTCCATCTTCTTCTTCATTTTTTTTTCAATTCTCTTATCATTGCAGGTTCTGTATACTGTCCCGGGAAAATATAACGGATACAAATTAATTTTTAATTAAAAACCTTTTTTTTTCACTGACAACACAACACTTTTACTTTTTTTTTCTACTTCTCTCATTTAGTTTGCTTTTGCAAAATTTTTTTTCTTCAAAGTGAATATATAATTTTCATTATGAATGCAAATTTCAACTGTTGTGAACATTGTGGAAATTTTTCCATTTCTTCTCTCTTTATTATTGAAAATGAAGTGAGAGAGATAGATAAATGTTGACTTTTCATTATGAGGACAAATAGAATGAGAGAAAAAAAACTACCGATTTATATACGAATATAAAAAGAACTGGCAAAATGGAATGATGAATCCAGCAGCAGTATCTTTTCAAGTAACATTCGGCCAAACAAAAAAAAGACCTATTCAATATATATTACCAGGTTCAAGTAAAATTAAATTTACTCAATGATGATAGTGAATAAATGAAATGAATGAATGAATGAAATGGAACAAAAAAAAAATAAAAATAAAATAAAATTCTCATTCCTGTTATCATTAAAATTGAATGTCACAAACTACTACTATTAACTGAACCAAAACGAAATACAAAAAATTTCATTTCTAAAAGCATCAACGTTTTTTTTTGTTTTTGTTTTGTTCATATACAAATAATTGTTTAGTTTGTATCTGATCATCATCATCCACAACCAAAATCTGGTTAATACAAATTAAATCTTCTTCTGCTTCTTTTTATTTCACTGTCATGTAACAAAAACTTGGTAGCAACAAAATTTTTCTTTTCAAAAAAAAAATTCTATAATAAATTTATTCTATTGAAATTGTATCATTCGAATCATATGTAAATGGTATACATACACACACAAATAAAATGGATAAATAATGCATTTTTTGTCATTCATTCAATTTCAATATATGAAATAACGAATAAAATGAAACAAAACAACAACAACACAACAACAAAAAAAAATCAATGATGAATCACATCTATTCTCGTAGTACATTTGTTCTACCTACCAATGAATAATGAAAAAAAATATACAGAATAACGACAAACACCTCAATGGTAATTATGGCAAACACATTATCACACATAAAATTAATAATTAAACAACCTATTTCAGGTTCGTAGTAGTGATTATTACTTTTTTTTTTGTTTCATATCATTATGATGTTGATGATTGATAGTATGAAACAATTCACATTCATATTCATTCATATTCTGCTGTGTTTGATTTCAATGTTCATTCATTTATTTATTTTTTACTTTTTCATTTTCCATTCGGACAAAATTCACTTGCCTTTTCTCTCTCTCATTCTAATTCTGACGAATATACAACAACAGTTCTCTTCTAATCATTTGTCATCGGGTGTAAACCGCCCGCAATGTAAATCTGGAAAATACCCTAAATTCCAATATATTTCTATCATTATCAGTTTTTTTTGTTCATTATTATCATTTTTTTTCGGTTTTGTTTTGTCAGACAATATTCGAATTTCCGAATCTCATAAATGAACCAAAAGTCTACACTTGGAAACAATTAACTTTTTTTTTCTGGCCCAAAAATTTTCTCAGAATTGTATATAACATTTCTATTGAATTTTATAAATATATGCGGAAAATATGTCAATTACATGAAACTTAACTGTATTAACATTTAATAGTCATTTTCTTTTTCCACTTTATTAAAAAAAACAAAACAAAATGTTTCAAAATTATCCATTATGATGATTAATGAGATGTGGTACGAGCGGAAGTAGTAGTATTGATATTTGTATTACTATTTGTTGGTATACGAAACATTGTTTCGATAAAACCTCTTAATGTTCGATGATCTGAAATAGTATCGATCAAATTTTGTAATCCTTTTCGTGTTGAATTATCAGGTTCAGCCGAGCGGAATGCTTCACTATTATATACTTCATTGTAAAAATATTTACACCAATAAATATTTGTCTCAGGAAACCAATCACGCCATTTGTCCACCACTTTGTTATACATTAATTTGTATGCCTCTTCCTGTGCATCAGGATTAGGGGTAGATGCTGTTGCTTTCAAACGATTGGTCAGATCAGTAAAGTATACTTTGTCACCCAAACAAATTCGAGAAAATGTTGCATCGATTAGACAGACTTTGACGCCAAAACTCTTGACATTATAGGAAACGGACCGTATGACAAATGAGATCGTTTCTTTTTTAGTTTTTTTCACTAATACATTACAAACATGTAGGTCACGATGTTCAAATTGATAGACACATTCAGCCACAGCTAATGCAAGTGTCACTTGATAACAAATCCCCAACAATTGACAGGGAGTCAATCCAACCGTAGCTCCTGATGATGTGATACGATATCGATGTTTGAACAGCTGCCATAATGAATCACCACAATATTTCATCAATATGGCCAAATTTTCACGAGGAACACCATGTAGTTCTTCGAAACGTTCTACTGGTTTTGCTTTTATTTCATTTTCATCATATTTACGGATGAGAAAATAATTAGGTATTTCACCATGTACAATTTTTGTACAATAAATTCTTGGAAAACAATGTGTCTGATATTCATACCCATGGGCATCGCATACTAGATTGTGTAAATCGGACAAAACTTTTGTGATTACTATTTCCTGATAAACATCAGAATATTGTTCAAAACCATTGAATGACAAGACATTTAATTTATTTAATGTTGCTTTCTGTACTACTTTGATAATCTATTTACTCAAATTATTGATAATAAATTAATATTTTTACGGACGGAAATATGGTTGATATTTGTGTCTATATTAAATACTCACCTTGAATACAATAGGAGTATATTTATATTGAATAGCAGTAGCTTTGATAACATGACTATATGTTCCTGAATCAAGATATTCAAAATTCTGAAATGCTGTACTTGGAAATTCGATTCCAAAATGTGATGGATTCTGTTGGCAACAAAGTTCTAAAACTTGAAACCAATAATCATCTTCATTTTCATCGTTGGACCGCAACGAAGTTAAACTTATAGTCGGCAACAATAATGATTTTCTTTCAATCATCGTTTTTCTTGATTCTTTTTCATTGATATTGTATTTAGACATTTGTTTTGTTTTGTTTTTTTTTGTATGTGTGCGTATACGATTCTTCTTTTTTTTCTTTCTTTCTTAAGTTTAGTTTAGTTTCTTTTCGTTACTTTTACAAACTCTATTAAATATACAAAATATATCGACTATTTTCAATACAGAATGCGCTACTTATTATTATTATTATTATTATTATATTTGAATAAAAACCTTTGATAAAATGAACCAAACAAACAGAACGAAAAAAAAAATGTTCATTCAATATATAAAATAACAGAATAATAATAGTGATAACAAAGACAAACAAGATTTTAAGGATTGTATTTCTTTTTCAAGTGTAAAAAAACTTTACTATTTGTTATTATTATTTAGTATTATTATTATTATTGTCGTTGTTGTTGTTGTTGTTGTTGCTATTGGGCATTTTTATTTTCTTTACTGTTGCTATTGTTATTGGTATATGTTGGAGACAGAACATTGGAATTAAATTAATTGCAACATGATTAGATTATAGAACTTTATATTGATGAAATGAAGACAACAAACCGAATAAAATCGAAATTTTTTTTCTTTTTTTTTGCTGATTGTGTTTCAATAATACATTGAATTGAATTGAAATGAAAATATAAGAAAGAAAAGAGAATTTTGTTTTTCTTGAATTATCATTATTATTATTATTTGCTATGTTTTGGTTCGCCTTTTCCATTCGAATTAGGTGATTATGATGATGATGATAATGATGTTGAATCGCTGAACTTTCTTAAGAAAAAAAATCTTTTTTGTATGTCTGATTTATATTCTGGTAAATTCTTATTATTGTTTTGATAATGATGATGATTATTTTATTCTTTTTTTTTTGCTATTTCTTGGAAGGAACTGATTGGCATACACCATCCTTACAACCATAAAGACATGCATCAACTGGAGTTGGGTGAAATAACATTGATAAACGTGGACATGTAAAAGTAATATTTGGACTACAATCTTTTCCGGATAATAAATCGCCACAATATGTTTGACCTTTGGCTAATCCTTTGGGACATTCACATTCAACGTTTTTTAGACATGCGTTGCTAACTAATTATTCAAAAAAAAAAATAAATAAATAAAATAAACATAAAAATAATGATAATTATATACGAATCAAATGAAAAATTGGATCAAATAAGAATTCAATGAAAATGGGAAAAAAATGAACATAAACATAACACCACCACCCACATATAGAAAGAAATTTTATGGAAATAATTAGCGAAAATGAATTTTGTTAGTGTGTTGTATGTTCTTTTTCAGATATTCATTCGACATGATCCATATTAAGAATCTTTCATTAATATGAACAATGAAAAAGCATTCATTAAATTTACATCTATAGAATGAACAAAAGAAAAAGTATGTGTGGGGTAATAGTTATAATGAACATGAAAAAAAACCTAGAAAATAGAATCGAGAAACAAAAAACTCAAAACAACTTACAAAGTGTTCGTATGTCACATTCTTGGCCTTCTTGACAATCAACCAACATTACGGCCGTTTTGTTACGATTAGTTTCACCACAGAAAAACATTTTTTTCGGACAGGAATTTTCTTTATTCATTTCATTCAATTCTGTACCACAATATTCACCATTTTTTTCAACTGAACAAATACATTGTTCACCAATAGTATGGCCATAATCTAGTTGATTATTGATCACTAAAATGATTGTAGATATTATGATGGTGATTCGTTTCAATGACATTTTATTGTATATCTTTATGTTTTTCTTTTTTCTTTTATTGTTTAATAAAATTGACAATTTAATTTTTTATAGCTTGCTTGAATGATTTCATCTGGTTATCACCACAGTCAAAATACAAATATTAATAAGTTTTTTTTCTACGAAATTGTATGTGAAGCGCTAATACCTGGCTATAATTACGACGTTTTTGTAATCAGAAAAAGAAAACAGTAGACGTAAAATATTGATTAACGCAATATGTTTTCAACAGAACTTATCGATTAATTTATCATGATTGCCTTTATTTGGATTTTTCTTTTTTGTTTTTCTTTATTATAATGAATAGTTTTGTGAATGTTTTGTATGACAAATAATAATATTTTTTTTTCATTTTTATCCTTCATCCATTGATTAAGTGAGAAAAAAATAATTAAAAATAATTAAAAATTCCTTATTCATCTTTATTTAGGAATTCATAGTTTATGATTTTGTGGATCAGACCTTGAATAATAATTTTTGTATTGAATAAAATGAATTTTTTTTCTTTTCTTGCTGTCGTAATTAAACACATTGGCCATCACGACAACCATTAGGACATGCATCGATTGGATTAGGATAACTTCGACCACAAGTAAATACAATAGATGCATTACAATCACGACCGGTTAGACGATTACCACAATATCGAGTACGACCATCAGCTTGAAGATTTGATGGACAATGACAATCAATATCCAAAAGACAGGCATTACCTAATATTGTTCAATATTAATTGAAAAATGAAAACAAAAATTTATCCATTTTTTTACGCTTTTACACTCACTTGAACCATCACGTCGAACATCACATTCATAGCCTTCACGACATTTTTTAACTACAATAGCCTGGCCACCACGATTAGATGGACCACATAAATATTGATCTCGTGAACAATCCTGATTACCATTGATACGATTCAATTGAGTACCACAATATTCTCTTGTACTTGAACCACTGCATCGACATACAGCATCAATAGCGTTTGGAATAGTAATAACCAATAACAAACAACAAGAAATTATTTTAAGCATCATCATTAGTTTTTTGTGTTATAAAAATTTTTTTTTCAATTAAATTCTTGTACAATATAACCCTTTTTTTTTAAAAAAAGCTGAAGCTTTTATAAATAACGAAGGAAATTTTCTCTCAAATTTGATCGAATGACCACATAAATAATTTGATGATGATGAAAAACCCATTTCAAGTAACTGCATTTAGAAGAAAAAAAAAACAGTGAAAGTGTAGAAAAATTCTGTGGAAAAATTTTGTCAATTAGGCGGATCAAAAATGGAATTTTTTTTCATATTTTTTTTATATCTTCAATCGATTGATTGTTTGAATGTATGTTCTTTATTTTCTGTCTATGTTGCCAATTTTAATAAGTTTAGAAAGAAAAAAAAACCAGTCAATCAAGCTTATTTTAGATGACAAAAACTAACTAACTAACTTAATAGCTACTGTCATTCGAAAGTTGTTGTTGTTGTTGTTTGCCTTTAACAAAATCGATTTTGAAGGTTTCGAAAAAAAATTTTTCGTTTTCGTATGTGAATGTTTAATGTATTCTACAAGGAAACAAAAAAAAATGCTGAATCCAGATTATTGTTTAGCGTTAATCAACCAACCATCATCATAATCATCATCATCGAAAAATATATAAAAAACATTTGACGAACAAAACAAGAAATTTTTTTCATAAGGAAAGAGGGAAAGCTAAAATTATTATCATCATTATTTATTCTGTGCTTTGGGGTGAAATATGATTATTTGCTTACAATTTTTTTTTCTTCTTCCAATAATGTCCTTCATTTTTATCTTTATAAACATCTTTATTAAACTTTTACCATTATAATTATTACCATATTTTTACGAATATAATTTTCAAAGGTATAAGGTTGCATATACAACCAGAAAAAAAGAAATTATGATCATTTGATTTCATCAGAATCGAAATAGTAGAATAAATAGAATGAATTTGTGATTTTTGGTTTATAATATTCACAAAAAAATATGCCATCATTCATTCATTTTTTCCGCTGTTTTTGCTGTTGATAATAATAATCTTATTATATTATAGAAATTTTGGACGAATCAACAAATTTTTTTTTTTGCTGTTTGCTATTTGTTGTTGATGTATTTGTCGATTGTGTCTGTGTGAATTCATGTTCAACTTATATTAAAAGATTCATTCAATAGTCAGGAAAAAAAACCTTGGAATAATCGAATATATTTGGAATAGAAAATTAAGCAGAAAAAAAAATTTGGTTATGTTTGAAACGAGACAAAAAAAAATCTTACTAGCCAATGGCATAACATTACATGTAGCAAGAAAATAGAATAGAATTTTCCAAATGCAATTGAATTGTAGCAATGACACAAACAACAGTAGAAAATGGTAATGGCTCAACACACCTGGGCGTCAAACTGAAATCTGATTTGGATGATATAAATTCAATTCAATATATGATAATAATAATGCAATATTGTTACAATATTCTACCAAAAGTAGAAAAAAAAATGATGACTTAGTTATATGTCCATTTCTTTTACAAAAAAAAATCAGCATATGAAAGCAAGAAATTAAGTCCAATTTATAGTCCAATTCTGTCGACACATTATTATTAAGTGTAAATTCTTTTTTTTCCAATTCGTAGTTATTTTTTCATTATCTTCATCTCTATATTTTCTCTTTCTATATTAATTAGTTGTGAATGTTTTGATTTTTGTTTCAATATTGTCGGACAAGAATTGCATGAAACAAAAAATATTTTAATGAACATTTCATCCGAAAAAAATAGACCAATTATTTTGCCATTATTTTTGGATTTGTGATAGAATAAAAAGGATTTTATACAGATAAAAAAAAATCCCAAAAAAGCAGTTAATTCGACTGTTTTGCAATTTTGCAACCAAAATATATTTTCAAAAAAAAAAATATTTCTAAAAATATTTCCCTATCTATCTGTTATAGAATAGCCAAAATAGAATAATCTCGTTTTTTTACATTTGTTGCAAATAAATTGATTCATTTTTTTTTGTTTCGTTTATCACATCATTATTCTGATCTGACAATAGACAATAAACATGAATGTGAAAGTGTTTGCTGTGGTATATAGCATATATAAATAGAAAAAAAAATCTTGTTATCAATGCAAAAAAAAATAATTGAAAATTGAAATGAGTTTGAATGCAATCATGAACAACAAAATAAAAAAATCATTAATTCTTTCAATCATTGATAACATCCAAACGAAAATTATTATGATTGAAAATCAAAATAGAAGTAGAATGAGAGAGATAGAAGTGTTTGTCAATGATGGTAGCCTTGCCATAAATTGACAAACACATGAATTTCTCGAATCAATCACCAGCGACAAAATGTTTATATATGCATAATTGTTGTTGTTCGAGATCATTGAAGAAAAATAATAAAAAAGATTACATTCATTCATTCATTCAACAAACAAACAAACAAACAAAAAACAAGATTCTATTTTGTGTTTTGTTTATTCATTTATATTCTCTATATATTAACATTATATGATTTTATATTTGTTTCATCATCATCATCATCAATTGAATGATTTACTTGAATAAAATTGATTTCAAATTCATATTAGTTATTATTCAAATAATAATAATTTAGTTTTGTTTCATCATTGAATAATAGATAACTTATAGATTGGATATACAAAACAAGATCTTATTGAAAAAAAGTAGGATATAAATAAGAAAAAAAGTTCAAATAATATAAAAAAAAATACTGGAAAAGAAAATATTTTCGACTTAATTTGAAAAAAAACTGTAAACACAAACACACAAGTGATATAGATATATATTCAAGCT